CAATGGAATCCGATGTGTGCCCCCTCAACATAGGAAGGCACCATAACTCTTCGATCCTTCGTTTTAGCATGACGTGCATCTTCGTTCTCACGCACCTGTTCCGCACGAATCAGAGCCGCCGCACAATGCAGCGCACCGTCCAACAATTGCGGTGCTACTTTCGTGTTACTTTCACACGGATCCGGTATTGCTCGACCTGGTTCAAATGTCTGAGTTAACTCGCACCATGCTAGTCGACCAGTCGGAGCTAACATACAACTGGACACCGTCCTGAACTTCGGCCCGTACCGCAACCCAGCCGCCTCCAACTGTTCGTACAACTCCGTCGGATTTATATCGTAAGTGCAGCTGCCATAAGCTGCCAAGAAGTCAGCGTCCACCTCCCGTAAAACCTTACCACCTGCAGTAGCCGGATCTGCGGCTTTGGTAGTCCAGTCCTTCGCACCACTATTCTCATCACCCCGGTTTTCATCGCCCGCATTTCGGTTCTCGTCACCCACATTCCGGTTCTCGTCGTTCGCTTCATCCCCCGGTTCCAGCGTCCCAGTACCTGCGAGAGAGACGACGCCGTCAACAGAGTCTGTAGCTAACAGACCCGAGGCGATCGGGACGAACTTGGTTCCCGTCTCCGTCAATTGCGCGTCGATCGTGAAACTGCCATCCGCCTGAATTTCGTTCCGTACCTTGCTGTACTCGCGCGCATCTTCTACGGGTGTCGGAACGATGATAGGACGTTCAATCAGCATGTTCTTGACCGTGACCATGGCCGGTGTGATTACGGTCACACCCATGTATTCGACCACATTGGTGCAGAGCAAAAGTGCGGCAATGGACTCTAGCAACAACACACCAGGGACGACCACCTGGTCGAAAACACAATGGTGTCTGAGCAGGACATTGTAGAAGTCATTCCGGAGAGCCCAGCGCGACCAACGCTGTCCAGTCGGCTTGATGTCCGTCTTGCCGACGAAAGGATGTACCTTGTAGTGGGCAGCGTGCGGACGCCGACTGAGAATCGAACGGTCGACCTGCAGCTTCGCAATCGACGGCAACAACTGACTGGTGACGCCCTCGAGCACAACGTGTGCATTCGTTCCACCAAATCCGAAAGAGGACACACCAGAGTACAGCACACCACGCTGAGTAAGCGGGGTGTTCGCCTGTGGGAAGACGACTGGGAAGTTCTCCACATCAATATGTGGGTTCAGCTGCTCAAAATGCAGGTTCCGGGGCACTTCGCGATGTTCAAGACACAGCATGACCTTGATCAGACCGGCTATACCCGCAGCGCCCTCTAAATGTCCGATGTTAGTCTTCAGTGCTCCGACAACCAACGGCATTCTTGTGTCCCTACCTGCGGCGTAAACGGCTTTAAGTCCACCCGCTTCGATCGGGTCGCCGAGAGCCGTGCCTGTTCCATGCGCTTCCACATAAGCCACCTCGGTTGGTCGCACTCCAGCGTCCCTCAGTGCGGTTCGGATGACGTCTTGCTGTGCCGGGCCATTAGGTGCCGTCAGAGAAGCGCTTCGACCGTCATGGTTAACGGCCGATCCGCGCACGATTCCGTAAATGAAGCGACCCTGTCGGCGTGCCTCCTCTACGGGTTGCAATAAGACCACACCGCACCCCTCACCTCTGACATATCCATCTGCGCGAGCGTCGAAGGTCTTACACTTTGAGTCAAGCGCAAGCATACGAGCACGCCCAAAAGTAGCAAACAAGTGGGGTGTCAACAACAAGTTGACACCACCAACCAAAGCCTCAGGAGTGCCACGTCGCAGCTTACTCAATGCTGCATCCACTGCGACCAAGGACGACGAACACGCAGTGTCCACTGTCACGGAAGGACCCTTCAATCCGAAGGTGTACGACACACGGTTAGACACGATGCTTCCTGAACCACCAACACCGGCGAAGGGAGAAGAGGAATATTGATCTAAGTAGTGCCAGTCGAAGTTACAGCAGCCTGTAAAAACCGCCACCTCCTGGTTCACCACCGTTTCACGATTGTAGCCAGCAGAAAGCAGGCAGTAGTAGGTCTGCTCTAGTAACAAACGCTGTTGCGGATCAGTAGAAAGGAGTTCGGCTGGCGTGATATGGAAGAAGTCAGCGTCGAAGGCCATAGCATCATGTATGAAGCCCGACTGGCGAATCACCATAGAGGAGTTGGCTGAAATGGTCTTGTCGTAAAACACCTCCACGTCGAAACGGTCCAGCGGTAGGTCGACTATACCCGAACGACCTTGACACAGGAAGTCCCAGAAGGAGTCCAAGTCCACACAGTCGCCGGGCATGCAGAGACTCGCACCCACAATCGCAGCCGCCCCGGCAGCGAAGCCACCGCCTTGCGCCACACCTGCTCCCAGTAGGAAGGATGAGTCGTCCACCTCGCGCGAGACACCTGCTGCCATTGCGACCTTCTCTTCAACCAGAGCGTGGATATGCTCCCCAAGTCCTCGAAGAGTCGGGTAATCAAACATTGCAGTCGCTGCCAGCTTGATACCAAGCTTGTTCTGAAGTGAGTTCCGGAATTCAACTGCGCCAAGAGAGTCGATACCCAGATCCTGCAACGGGGCATCCATAGGCGGTAATTCAGTACGACCCAGTACGGAACTGGCCGTGTCAATGACCGTTTGTAGCACGTATTGTTTACGCTCCTCCTCAGTCATCTTAGCCACCTTACCCGACAACTCAACTCCTCCCATGGCGCCCTTTACGCAACTTGAGAAGAACGTGGGCGGCACATCATACCGCTGCAGGAAAGAGGACCAACGGAATTGCTGTACACATACCACAGGTGCTGAGGCTTGAACCACGTGCAGCACATCCGCCAAACAACGCAGTCCGATGTCATTGCTCAGTCCACGCATGCCAGCCTTCTCCAACACAGCTTCCATGCCCAATGCCATGCCTTGCTCCGTCCATGGGCCCCATTGGATACTCACACCTGGCAGACCCAATTGACGTCGGTATTGAACCAAGCTATCCAGTCCCGCATTCGCCGCACTGTAATTGCATTGCTTAATGTTACCCACTGCACTTGAGACCGAACTGAACATCACAAAGTGTTGCGGCTCAGCGATCAACCTCTCTTCCTCGTCGCCAACCGCCGGCAGTCCATGCTCGCGGAAATGCTGAAGAGCCCGATGCAAGTTCCAGCCCGACAAAAGCTTCGCGTCCAACACCTTCGACAAAGTCTCCGGGGTTTGCTCGGTCAGACTCACGTCCATCAGCAGACCCGCCAGGTGGAAGAGTCCATGTACTTCGTGCGTCCTCATAATAACTTCCAGAGTTCCCAAGACCGAGTCATAATTGCTCACGTCGCACCCCATCACATCTACG